CCCCAAAACCCCAAAACCCCAAAACCCCAAAACCCCAAAACCCCAAAACCCCAAATTAGGAAAATCTATTGAATTACACAAAAATGTTTTAGCTCAGGTAATTAGAAAAGGTTGTTCCTAATACACTTATCTTGTGCAGGCAATGCAGCCCAGGTATGGTTAGGTAACCATCAGCGATTATAACTGTGTTCGTGGTGAATATGTCGGCCTTTGAGAGAGTGGTATCTAAGGTTTGGGATATGCTCTCCTGGATTTCAATGTAATGGATATCATTCTTCTCAGTCTTATCCCATCCTCCTAAAATTAAGAAATTTTCACCGAATTCTGAGAGAGGGAGTGCTAATCAATTTGATAGCGATATAGGAAGGGATATTTCAAGAATTTCCCAGTATTTTTGAACAATGAGCTCGTCCAGATAGAGTCTTTCTATTGACGCAATGCAAGGAGTTCCAATTTTAGGGTTCTCTCCTCCAAAACAATACAGGGTTCTATTTATTTCTCACAGAGAGGTAGAAGCTCTAGGTTCATTTAGTTTTGGGCCATATTTCCATTTTCATGAAAGAAAGCTATCCATATCTTCTTCAATGTAGTCTCTGTCAAAATATGATTTCTGTTCAACAATATCTTTATAAGAGATGATTTCTGTCGTATCTGTTACTTCAACATCTGAGGTACTTCCTCCAACTGCAATAAGGTATTTATCTCCATCACTAAATTTATTAATCAAGAATTCTTACCTTGTTATAAAAAGTAAAGATGAATTGGCTCTCTTTGTGTTTAATCCCGGAAGAGTAGTTATTGTACCAGAACTGCTCACCTTCAATCATATATCATATATATCATTACTGTACTTTTCTGATGAACCTCCAACTCAGACAACTCCCAGCATTTTGTCTGAAATTATGCTAACTCCTTGAGTCGTGAAAGGAAGGAACTTATGAATTTTTGAAAGTAGTTCTCCTTTGCGATTTACATCATAAATGCAATCAGCTATGCTTATATAAAAAGTATTAGAATCTGAAAAATTTCCCCCTGTCGGTTCATTTTTTATTAAATTCTCTACCAATTCTCCGAAGTTGATTTCAATTCCCTGACTTTCGTCAATATCTGAGCCTTGGGGTGAAATGAAGCTGATTTCTGTTCCTTTTCTCTCCAATTTATTATTAAGCTCTTGTTTATCCGAATTTTCATCGTTAAGGTCACTCCCAAGAACATTGAGAGGAGGCATGTCTGTGAATAGAGGATTGCTGACTACGATCTCTTTCTTGTTTAATAGGTTACCCTCTCTGACCTCTCTCTTCAATCCATACAACTTCTCCACCAAAGCTCACACCCTACAAGCCAGTCATCACAAGTGTGGAGGGATGTCTCAACTACAGAACTCAAACTGTACTCTCTTGTACATAGTTATCACTACGAATATTAATTATTTAGTTTTCACCTGCAAAGTATCTTTATGGGGTTTTGGGGTTTTGGGGTTTTGGGGTTTTGGGG